TTTCTTTAATTTTGTAATGTGAAAGGCTTTCCTAAACATGACACAAAATTTAAAAACTGTTAAGGAAAATGCCAAAAAAAAAACTATGAACAAAGTTAACAGACCAATGGCAGAAAGAAAGAAAAAGCTTTACATCACATTTTGATATTAAAAGAGCCAATTTTCTAATTTACATAATGTTTGTTTAAATTAGCAAGAAAATGTTTTTTAAAACTAATGGGAAAATGAGCAAATTATGAAAATAAGTAGCTCACAGATATAGAAACAAAATGGCCAGTAGTCTGCAAAATATTCTTAATCTGACTCATAATTAAAGAAATGCAGATCACTATAAATTTTCATCTATCAGATTTACAAAATTTTTAAGTTTAATACCCTATGTTAAACTATGAAGAAACAAGTTATGAGGAATTCTGATACTTTTTTATTATTATTGATTTCAGAGAGAGGAAGGGAGAGGGAGAAAGGGTTAGAGACTTCAATGTTGAAAGAAAACCAACTATCAGCTGCCTCCTGCACGCCCCCTAGTGGGGTTTGAGCCCAAAGCCCGGGCATGTACCCTGACTGGGAATCGAACCGTGACCTCCTGATCCATGGATCAATGCTCAACCACTGAGCCCCACAGGCCAAGCAGAATTCTTACACTTTTGATGAGAGTTTTAAATGGTATATTTTTTAGTGCAACTTACTAGTAATAATCAAAATCAATAATGCATAAGCATTTTTTTTACTTGGCAGTCCCATTATTAGGAATTAACTACTGAAAAAGTAATGCTCCCATTGATTAGAATGTTTTTCACATAATTATGTATAGTAAGAATGAGTAGTAGAATAATCCAAAAACTTATTAATGCGGGTGGTAAAATATATTGTGATCTCCTCATAAAATAGGATATTATGCAATCATTTTTTTAAATACATTTTTTAAAATATATTTTTATTGATTTTAGAGAGTAAGAGAGAGATGGAAACATCAGTGATGAGAGAAAATCATTAATCCACTGCCTTTTGCATACCCCACACTGGAGATCAAACCCACAACCCAGGCATGTACCCTGGCCAGGAATTGAACTGTGACCTCCTGGTTCATAGGTTGACGCTCAAACACTGAGCCATGCTCAATGGCTAAAACAGTACATTTTTATGGATGCAAACAGAAGGTCTCTAAGCCATTTGATTAAGCAAAAAATAACAAGTTACATGTGTTTATAATAAAAATCTCATTCGTGAAGACTTTGAAAAAAATATATATATATACATACACCCATACAAGCACAAATATAATATTTGAGAGATGCAATTATATTTTTATACCAAAAAAAAAAAAAAAAGCATAGGAAAGCTGAATGATTACCTTTGAAGAGATTGCTGAGGACATAATTGGTGGCCTGGAAAAGGGAGAGTGAGTTTTTGTTCTCATAACTTTCTGTACTCTTTATGCATACCATACTTTTATGAATTTTTACTTTTAAAAATGACCTTTTTAAAAAATCAAAGACATGGGGAGTTGTGTAGCTTTCCTTGGTTTAAAATTAAAAACCACACTTCCATAAGTAAATGTGCCTCCGGAGACCAGGACAGCCGCAGCCACCAGCAAGGAGAGAATTTTGTTAGGCTTAGCCTATTTCTAAATCACTGGTTTTGTTATTACAAATAGCTGATGTCATTTTTATATCCCAAATCCCATAAACCCTAACTCACACTAACTCAAAACCTAAGTACAAGTCAGTGGCCTGCAGGTGCTCACGACTCACAATTAGCCCCTAATTAAATCAATTACTAAAAAAGTGTCAGTGTTCATTTCTAAGTTTTTTTCCTAATGTTTTGCCAAAAGGAATATGGAGAATCAAGACAACGGAAGACCTGTTCCCTGCTTTTAGGCAGGCACATCTATCTTCCCTGTTCTCTCCCCAAAGTCACGGACAAACTCTCACCAGCCCTCCTGTCACAGCTTCAATGACACATTCTCACAGAGGGATGCCCTCACCGCTTATCTAAGAGTGCCTCCCACCCACGCCCTCCTTATTCTCTGCCTTGGCTGCCTGTTGATTTACTTCTTGGCTTTTATGATGAATTGCAGTTATTTTTATTTAACTGTGATATTGGTTTTTGTCTGTCTTCCTCGTTGGAATGTCTGCTCCATGAGAGCAGGGCCAAAGCTGACTTGTCTAATGCAGTTAGTATAATCCTAGCACATAAGTAAAAATAAATGTGTGTTATAGAAATAAAAAATGTGATAGCTGTGTGTGAGAGACTAATATTCACAATAGCTAGCCTTGTTAAGTGTTTACATAAGAGTGTGCAGTATTCTAAGTATATGTTATATTCATGCCATACTTAAAACAATGATATAATTCCCTTATTGCTCCTATTTTACAGATAAGAAAACAGATATAAAAAAGGTAAAGTAACTTGACCAAAGTCACAACCAGCTAATAAGGGAAAAGTTATATATATATATATATATATATATATATATATATATATATATATAGTAGCAGCTCTATGTATTAAGTATATACATACATATAATTCACACTTATATATGAAGTATATGATTGAAATTATAATTTTTAGCTACAGAAAGAAATGTGTACTCTTTCCCAACAAAACATTGAAAAAATGATTTAAAGAAAATTAAAATACTCAATTCTATTTCTCTTTGACATACAAGGAAGAAACTCATTTCTCATCAATAATGAGAGAGGACTTCCTTTGGCTTTCATCCTCTGGAAAAGTACATCAGTTCTTTACAGAAATTCTGCAAGTAGTTCACAGGCCCCTGTGCACATTTTTGTATAACTACAGAGGATTCCAGTAAAGCCAAAAGCAGCCAGTGGCCCATTCTATTGTATGCAGAATATAATTGTCACTTCACTATTTATATCTGGCATAAAACTATGTAGTGTCATCCTTATGAACAGCAGGAGCAACAAAAATAATTCTGATGTATAGTGCTTGATGTTTTAGAAGACCACATGAAATCTGATTCCCTTTACTTTATTGATCTATATATATAAAAGTCTAAGCGACCCAACAACCTCATGACAGATCTATCTGTTGCTATGACATGCACTGACCACCAGGGGACAAATACTCAATGACAGGATCTGGCTCCCTCCTGTCTGGATTGGGCCTTCAGGGATCGAGCGGAAACTCGCTATCTGACATCCCCCAAGGGGTCCTGGATTGCAAGAGTGTGCAAGCCAGGCTGAGGGGCCTCACGGGTGCATTGGGCTTCTAGGGTTATAATGAAAGAAGATGGTATGGCGTGGCCATTGTGGCTCAGAGGTTGAGCTTTGACCTATAAACCAGGAGGTCACTGTTTGATTCCTGGTCAGGCACATTAAAAGGTTGCAGGCTTGATTCCCAGCAGGGGGTATGCAGGAGGCAGCTGATCAATGATTCTCTCTCATCATTGATGTTTTTATCTGTTCTCCCTCACCTTTCCTCTCTGAAAACAATAAAAATATATTTTAAAAAAGAAAATAGTATGAATAATGTAGGACATTTCTTATGAAAGCTCAATGAGAATGAATTGAAACAAAAGGATTAACTCAAAAGAAAGATTAATTTACTTGGACAAAAATATCCTGTAATTCATTGCTGTATTCTTGTTCCTAAAGTAAGTCTTTCTTTTGTTTTCAATACACATGGGTCAAGATTCTATAAATTGGCCTGCAGCCTAAAACAGACAAACTAATTATAATAGGACATATGTATTTCTTTCTCTTACCCACTGGCTTTATTCACACCAGTAAGAAAACCATTCTAGCAACCCCCACTTCTAAAAACAATAGTTACTAACAGGACTCTCTGAAATCAGTTCTCCATTAAAGTGTGTTTATGGATTTGAAATAAACAAAGAAACAAACTTTAAGGGAATGGGAGAGACAGAGAAAGAGAGAGAGAGAAAGAGAGAGAGAGAGAGAGAGAGAGAGAGAGAGAGAGAGAGAGAGAGAGAGAGAGAGAGAGACTGATTTATTGCCTCCTGCACATGCCCTCATCAGGGCCAGATCGAGCCTGCAACCCAGGTATGTACCCTTGACCAAAATCCAATTGGGTGACCCTTCAGTTCTTTAGCCAACACCCTAACCACTAAACAAAACTGGCGAGGATTGTTAAAATGTTTTAATATTAATGAGTAGAACATCATTACCAAACAATCAAAATCACTTTGGAGTATTTTTTGTTTCAAGACACACATAATGTAATTACTAAAAATATACAGCACACCAAAAAGCATATTTTTTGCCAACCTGACAAAAAAAAAATAGGTATACCATAATTTTGATTCATTCACACCAGCTGGCTATCGTTGTGTTGGCTGTTGTCATTTTTTATTTGACAATCTAAGGAAAAAGAAGTCAGTGTGCCTAACTAAATAGTTCAGTATTGCATGCTTCAAAAATTATTGCAGCACACAGGTTGAAAATTGCTGCTTTTGACCAATGGTTCTCAACTGGAGACAAGTTTTCCTGCAGAGGACATTGGGGTATATCTGAAGACATTTTTTATTTATCATGAATTGGGGGAGGCATGCAGGGGCTGCTACTGGTATCTTCTGGTAGAGGCTAGAGAGAGGACAAGTTGATAATTGATCCCATGGAGTTGTCAAGTAGACGGTTGAATAGACATATGTAGAGCTCATGATGGAAGTCAGGACTAGAGACATGAGTTTAGGGATCTTCTGTTTACAGTTAAATTCATGGGACTGAAAGAGATTACCTCAAAGTAAGTGCATGTAAGTAAAAGTTACATAAACTCTTATGTATTATATAATACATAATAGGTTGTATTTTCATAGAACTTCCCAACCAACTTGCTCAGATACAGTGTGACTCTGAGAAGTGGACTCTAAGTCCCCTCCTCTCAAATCTGGGTGGGCTTGTGAATCACAATGAAACTAACGTAGTGGAAGTGACACTGTATGACTAAGAGTAGGTCAGAGAAGGAATACTTGCACTTGGATCTGTGAGCAATGACTCAAGTTCACCTACCTTGCCATTGCCATCGTGTGAGGAAGCAGGCTCTCCAGCTGACGATCTGTTTTTATTGGCCGGTAATGTGTAGAAGTCAAGCACTGTTGACAAGGGACAAGGGTGAATCTGGGTCCACGGTGATGGCCCTTGCGCTCTGCATCCAGATCTCAGCACTCTACATAGTGACCAGTCTCAGCATCTGGGAGAAAACAAAAGGAAACTCACTGCCCCTCAAATTACTTAGTAGTAATTAGAAGGAAAAAAAAATACCTTTAAAAATGACTAGTGTTACCTACCATTAGTAACCCTAGTATGGTTCCCCTTTGCTTAATGATGGTAGGAACATAGTTGAATATGCAACTGGCACTGACTTGTCTTTTTGTCTGCCCACAACATTCTTGGCTCTTCAAAAGAGAAAAATACATTTACCCTGACACATTTATGAGGAAAATACATTCATTGTCAATACTCTGGTTTTGGTCACCTACCTGTCACCCTTATTACCGCCACTTTATGAAATAAATTAGGTGCAAAGGCATATGTATCAGCTTACATACATTTATTTCTATATCACCTAGACCTATTGTAGACGATCAGGCCAGGACCGGTTTGGCTCAGTGGATAGAGCATCGGCCTGCGGACTGAAAGGTCCGGGTTCGATTCCGGTCAAGGTTATGTACCTTGGTTGCGGGCACATCCCCATTAGGGGATGTGCAAGAGGCAGCTGATCGATGATTCTCTCTCATCAATGTTTCTAACTCTCTATCCCTCTCTCTTCTCTGTGAAAAATCAATAAAAAATATATTTAAAAAAAATTACATTGTAGACAATCAGAATATACTTTGGATGCTCAGGAAATCATTATATCTTTAAAAATGCTTCAGATTATTTGATATTATAATTATTTTAAGCACATTTATATACAATGCTACTAGGACGAGATGAGAAATAAATTTCAAGGACCTTGAAGAGCAGGTTTGTCTATCTCATTACTGTTTTGCCATATATAACAATAAATTATGAATGTCCCACAGAAAAATTCCAAGGAATACCATGAGTAATATGTTTGCTGCCAGACCCTTGGGAGGCAGGATTGTAGAGCTTCATATTATTACATATTTTGCTTTGTTTGTTCATTGTTTTGATTTGGGAAAAATAGTTATGAATTATTTCTGTAAAATAGAAGGTAAACAATTTTAATACTCTGTAACATTATGTCATTTATAAGATTACTGACTTCCAATGATGTGCATAGACATGAGCGTATAGGAAAACACATCAAAGAAGATGTGTTTCTCTAGATATGGCTAAATACACATGTTAATTTGACCAAAAAAATAATAACATAAGTTTAAATTTTTTTCAGAGCATGATTTAATAATACAAAAGCATTTTATGTCACATATTCTTAATAGAAGTACAATTTGATTTTATTGTTGGATTTCTTCATGTGTAAAATCAAAGATTCAGTTCTTTAATCCTCCAAGACAATTTAGTGCACAAATTAAATTTTGAGAATTTAGAGGGAAATAGTTTTTTTCTTGACTTATCGAAATAATTGCTTTCATTTATCCATGATCCAATTCAGATCAATTTAAAAATATTAACTTATTGGCAATATATCACACACATAGTCACATTTATATTTATAACCATGGTTTCAGTTACAAAATAGAAATCATAATTATAAGAACCTAGAAATCCTTCTTTTTGTAAAATATGTTCTTTAATTTATTATTATTGTCAAATATCTCACATTTATACAGTTAAATGTTTCAGTGTTTTAAACTCACTCACATTAGGTAAAATAGGTGTTATGTTTATTTTTCAGTGATGATACTGAGGTTAAGGTAAAGGATCTTACCCTAGAATGTGTAACTAGTTTGGGGAAGTAACTGACCACAGGACTCACATATCCTGGTATTTTCATATTTTCTTTTTTTTTTTTTAATATATATTTTATTGATTTTGTACAGAGAGGAAGGGAGAGAGATAAAGAGTTAGAAACATCGATGAGAGAGAGTCATCGATCAGCTGCCTCTTGCACACCCCCCACTGGGGATATGCCCGCAACCAAGGCACATGCCCTTGACCGGAATCGAACCCGGGACCCTTCAGTCCCCAAGCCGACGCTCTATCCATTGAGCCAAACCGGTCTTGGCTCATATTTTCTTTTCTTAAAAATATATTCGGATTGATTTCAGAGAGGAAAGGAGAAGGAGAGAGATAGAAACACCAATGATGAGAGATAATCATTGACCAGCTGCCTCCTGCACACCCCTCACTGGGGATTAAACTATCAACCCATGCATGTGCCCTGACCAGGAATCAAACCATGACCTCGTCATTCACAGTTCTGTACTCAACTACTGAGCCATGCCAGATGGCTTTGTATTTTCTAAAGAAAGTTGTCACTCGGCTGGGCCAGAAGGTAAGTCTTCACTTTAATCACTTTAGTAATTACCAGTCACATTTTAATAAATATAAATAATTTTAAATGACCAAAAATTGAATCTGAGAACTTGAGAAGAAACTCTTAACTAAAGAACAATCTTCTACCCAGATACTGCTACAGAATGAGTCCAAACTGACCAGAAAAAGAAAATGTGCCTGTGAGTTTTATTTCTACAGGGTCTTCAAGTCTCATTTCACAGAGCCTTGTGCTCGATACAAATAGTATTTAACATCTACAGTAAAAACTTTTCCACATTTTTCAAAGGATGAAACTTATGGAACCCTGAGAGAAAGCTAAGGATAGCCTTGTGATTTAGTCCCGTGTGATAGAGTCATCAGCGCACTGAAAATAGTGTCCGGGTCACACAAATGATCCAGCTGAACAGTTAATGAGTGGTTATCATGGGCTCAGTGTCAACTGGGTGGGAAATGAAGAGAAAATCCCAAACGTAAATTTGTTTAACATTTGCCATCAGTGACCCAGAGAGATAGAGAGCTTATTTAAGTTTGCATCTGGATAAGAGAAAATATCCTTTCAGGCGGTAAAAATTTCAAAACTGAAATGAAGGAGCACAACAGAATCAAAATTTAAATACTTTGATTAATTGGAAAAAGGTGATTGGAAAAAGAATCGAGATCAATAAAACTAAGAAGTAATATATTATCTTCGAGAAAATTAGATTGTAAGAATTCAGAAAGAAAAAATACGGACAATTTGCTTGACTTTTTGCTGTCTGCTTCTGTAACCCCCAAGTTCACTCTGGGCACATACATCCACCACACACACCCCATACACACACACACACACACACACGTACACACACAGTATACCAAACAGAAATAGGATTCCAGATAGAAAAAACTGTGATGTGTATCTAATATTTCATGTAGAAACTTTCTTTCAGTGAGACTCAGAAGCTTCTAGCGAAAGCATATGTGTCCTTAAATGTTGTCTTGTCATTGTGTGTGTGTGTGTGTGTGTGTGTGTGTGTGTGTATGTGTGTGTGTTTACCTATATGCTTTATGAAATCATACAGCCTCCTGGGTAAAACAAAAGTATGAGAGGTGAGGAGGACATTGTGTGTGGAGTTTTTTATTTTTTTATTTTTAAAAAGACAAGTTGAAAATACTAAATGATTAGGCCAAGATTATGCAAGAAATAGGTGCAAAACAATGTGTCAAAAATAAAATAAAATAAAAATTAATGCTATGTTTATTCTTTTCAACCAAACAATTCTGCCTTCCCTATTCAGCCTCATTCAAAGATGGGTCTTTGAAAATACAGCACAATGTTTGAAAATAACAAACCTTATACCATGAAATAGAATAGGTGATGGAGAAAACTAATCACATCATGCTGAAAACTTTCGTCTCGAAATTTGCAAATGCTAAAATGAAGAGTATTTCATTGCTGATTGGCCTCATTTCTTTCTCCTAAGAATTTAAACAAAGATTTTAGATGAAATAGTCTTACAAGTTGCATGTGGAATAAATTGAGACTATGCCAATACCCTGCAGTTCAGATAGAAAGGGCAAACAATAACTTGGTATATTTTTAAAAAATCAATTTTTGCTTATGGGTGGGATTTTGCTATTTGAAGAGGGAGGGCAAAAGGACAATAGGATTTTTTTTTTAAATCTCTATCTGTCATGAACTGGGACAAATGTAACTTCTCTGTTTGCTTCCCCCTTCAACACCAAGATAAAACTGTAAAATACATTTTAAGAAAACAACACATAATTGATTAAATCATTGTATTTAATAACTTGGAGGGGGAGAAATGTTTATATTTGTACATTGTTTCCATGGACCAGGCTAGTTAAAAATGTGCTCACTTCTTTTGAAGATACCATACATAATCTGTGATAAAATACTTCTCTGGATTTTTGACCTTTCAGATTTGCTCATTTTAAAACAGACTGTCTATAATGCTCTGTGCATGTGGGGGGGGGGGGATGTCTGTGCATGTGTGTGAGACAAACATATATGTGAAAGACCCTTCGCAAAAATTCTGTTCTCTTTCATCTAATTAGTCAACCCCTGACTTCAAATTTTTGGTTATAAATCCATAATTTAATCTCTTTTTTTATTTTTTTCCAGAATTTAATATTAAAGAGGTTTAGCTTTTATAGGAATTTCACTTGAGTTTTAATATATTTTCTATAGTTCCATAGAAGAAATTAAGTGGTTTAGGACAACTGAAATTAATGAAAATTTTTATTAATTTTCACTGATTATTCATGACAAATTATAAAGGAAGACAGCACTGATAATGTGGAAACACGAAGATTTTCCTGAAGGTTTTTGGATTGTTTTATTGGAGGATTTTCAAAAGATATGTTCTGAAATATTTTTGAGAAAGCATGAAATGCCATGTCAGGTCACATTAATTTATAATATTGCCACATATGCTAAAAATGTGGCCCATTCATTCTTGCCAAAAACAACCTTCCCTGAAGGTGAAATATATTTGCATATCCTTGATTATCCCAAGTTTTTAATCCATTTCTAGCTCTGAAAAATACCAACAATTTATGGTCAAAAGTTATGTTAAATTAAGAAAATAAAAGTGTACTT